TCTTTGTAATCAAACAAAGAATTGACTTTGATAAGGTCAAAGGTTTCCCAGTGCCAAGGGTTGCTCTTTCAATTCCTTATTCTTTCTTTCGATCCCCTCTCTCAGAGTATACGGCTATACGCATGCGCGAAACGAGAGAGAACGAAACGGTTGAGTGCGTCCTTTTCTAGATAGAATTACCCCCACTCCTCAAATTTCCGACAATGCGTACTCTAGTACTACTATCTCTATGGCTAAGCGCAAGAAGGTTCGTACGTTTGCGCGGAGTTCGACGGGGAAGGGTGATGGTGGGGATATAATCGCGTAGTGGTGGCAAGAAGGGTATGGTGGGAGTAACTGTATATATAGTTGTATGGTGTTGACCGCTTCACATTTTGCGATCACGCCGACACGAAAGGACCACGGGAGACATGGAATTCTTCAGGAGGTTTATTTCGATGTTCAATTTTTCGAGGCAAAGGAAAATTGATATCATAACAAAATTACCAATCGAAATTTCCAACATGATATTTCGCATGCTGGATGATCTCTCTATACGGCACTCTGCGAGAGTCTCAGCTCGGTGGAGAGGACTTTCTGCCTATGAACGGAGACGCAGAAAACTACGAGATGCGAAGACTAACGTAGAACCTTCTAACAATGTTATTACAAATGGCACTATGACATTTAATGTCAACGAAGATAGTGGTAGTGCTGCTCGAAAGAACCATGGTCGTCCTCCTCGATACATGCGCTCAACTGGCAGTGCTAACGATAACAAGAGGGTCAAACGATCCAAGACAAAGTATAGTCAAAAATACATGCGACTTTGAATACATCACGAGGCATAATATAAATTGCATTTATTTGTTATATAAATAAACATTGTAAGCATCGTATTATGTTAATAGCGTTAGTAGTTAGTGGTATAAATTTAGAGATTTATTTGGACAGTAACTAATAGTTTGCCAGCGTTGTCAAGTATTTTACATTAAAAATTTCTTATTTCAAAATACCCTTATTTTTATGTATCCTTTTAGATTAGAGAATACGTATTATTCAGGTTAAGTTATAATATTAAATATGTAGTATCATAAATTTTTAAACGAAAAGTATATACGTGCTACTTGAATTAATATTACTTTAATAATTTGGAATAAGTATGGAAGAATGTTGGCGATTGGATTTCGTTTTTATTAACTACACAACGAAATTTCGTTTCAACCGTATTCTATATCTACAATTTGCTTAAATTATAAGTAATACATATTTCTTGAAAAACATTGTTGTTACTTTGTTAGTTTGGAAAATAGATGTAGGATTGGTTTGGGAAACAAGTTTATTTCTAACTTCAAAGAGTATAACTCACACAAGGGCTTACAATTAGCGCCTCTTTTTATCTTTCTATAAAAAAGATAATTTTATCATAATAGCGCATGCATTTTGTGTTGTTGACCGTACAGCAATATTAAATACATTTTGCTTTTGATAAGGCTTCATCTTACTTTACTGTATCGAATTTTGTTTTAATTTAACACGCATAATAATATAATCTAATTTTAAATGGACCTTATTCTATTTTATTTCATTTATTTATGTCTTTTTATTTTTTTGTTTTTCTTGTTACATGAAATAATAAAAGAATATACATATAATAAGCCATACTCCGTGGGGAGTTAAGCGTTAAGGTTAAGGGCTCTTGATGAATAATATCAATAAATATTAATGATAAAAATCTATCATTTATACCTCTATAATTCCAGTTATGCGAGCATATTGGCCAGCACCACCAGATTGTTTCTTATAAAGATAGTCAAATTCGCATGGTTTAGTTAATAAGTCTCGCGGAAAGAAACTTTTGGCTTTCCAAGCATGACCGGACAAGCCTGATCTCTTTGTAATCAAACAAAGAATTGACTTTGATAAGATTAAAGGTTTCCCAGTGCCAAGGGTTGCTCTTTCAATTCCTTATTCTTTCTTTCGATCCCCTCTCTCAGAGTATACGGCTATACGCATGCGCGAAACGAGAGGGAACGAAACGGTTCCAAATTAGAGACCCTCTAATCAGAGTCGCGAAATAACGTTTCCAATTTTAATGGTGCTGACATTTTTCAGCAAAAACCGGAAATAGTCATGGCGTTAAATTTAAGTTGACCTACATTCGCTGCCCATTTTGCTCTTTTTCAGGATTACGAGGAAAGACTTTCATAATATAATTATAAAAGTCTCTTTTTTGCAGAATTGTTGCAGTCTGGCGCAGAACAACCAGTCATTTTAGAAAATATAATTTTATGAAATACACAGTATTAGTATAAAAAATATAATAATGTAATTTCTTTCTGATAACTGTATTTAGATCCACATGTATTAGGTGTTAATGTATTACAATCATAATCTTTTCATTGCAACTGCGATGGTGCTCGTACGTGCAGTAGTATTATATTTAATCGTTACTTCCGGTTTTTGCTGAAAAATGGTATCGCCGACCTAACCTTATTGACGTTATTTCGCGACTCTGATTAGAGGGTCTCTATTCCAAATGAGTGCGTCCTTTTCTAGATAGAATTACCCCCACTCTTCAAATTTCCGACAATGCGTACTCTAGTACTACTATCTATATGCTCGCAATATCGCAATCAGCGCAGGACATAGCCATGTTACATTCCTTCAGTGTAGTTCGTGACGCATGCGCAGGATCATTATAAATTTTAGGGTCCACTTTATACAAGCTTGTATTAAGGGAGTTAGCAGTCTAGTAGTATATATAGAAGTCTGTGGTCGAAATCTACTGTATCTACGCAACACTTTTACAACGTAGATATAACATGCGTGGATGCAGTAAGTTCCGCCCCTCCTGCGGGGAGGTTCCACTATTGTTTTTAAAGCAGCGAATTGTTGTTTTTACAGCAACAGTACAATCATAGAGGGACTGAGGGAGCGTAACGTACTGTATCCACGCATATTACTTCTACGTTAAAAGTGTATGCGTGGATGCAGTGGGTTCTGCTCCCCCTGCGGGGGAAAGCACCACTATTGTTTTAAATTGAATTGTTTTTTAAAGCAGTGAATTTGTATTTTTAAAGCAGTGTTTTTGTGTTTCTAAAGCAGTAATTTGTTATTTTTAAAGCAGTGACAGATATCTTAACCTCTAAAATCTCGAACTTTAACGCTTAATATCTCGGTTCACGAGGTCGAGCGACACAAATTTCTTCCAGATTCTTTCATTTTGAGTGAAAACGCGTCGAATAAGCCTAATTAGATCAAAATCGTAGGTGAGGCCCGTATTCTATATAATTACTCAAAAATTTTGTGAATTTAAGAGAAATATGATATGGGAAATTAGTGGAAAATTTGGAAAAAACAGTAATTTTATGAATTAAATGGAAAACTAGGGAAAACTAGGGAGATTTTCATGTCCCAATAGGGAGACTGCTTCGCCAGAATGTGGCAACACTGCTTGTTACTTCGACCATGGCTGCAACTAGAGTCCTAGATATCAGAGAAGCGCAACCGGCTTGAGTCAGTATCGCAAAATTACTAAAAAAAGTAATAAAAATGGCGTCGTTTGCAGACGAAATATGAAATCCACCAATCGTCTATTAGTCAGCCATTTTTAATACCACTGAATGAATGTCATGATTGGCTGACACTCAGCTAATCAGAATGCGGCACACCGGTTGCGCTTCTCTGATATCTAGGACTCTAGCTGCAACGAGGTCGTCAGTCGTCACTCGTCGTCGTCAAGTCCATGGTATAATAAGAGAGGTATAGCAACTAGGAGGACGCGCAGCTGCGGTCAATCACAATACAGTAAGTTTTTTGAGTGGCGATTCAAATGCACCGAGAACCTTACATCATGTATGGCATTTATATGTACATATCATCGGTGATAAGAAGCGATTAAAGATCGAGTAAAATAGTAAATAGCGAAAAATTGCAGAAGTGACGTGAAAAGTAAATCATCAATAAGTTAAGTTTACCATTTTATCAATTTGTTATATTCAAAAATACGCATACTTATATATGTAATAAATGTACATATCAAAGACCTGTATTCTAACCTCAAATATTATGCATTTTTATTCATATGTACATACATACATAATTATAAGAGATTTTGTATTTTAATAATGTAATTAATGATATATACTTTTGAATATATATGTATATATAGAAATTACATTTATTTCAGAATGTGAAAAACGTTATTTTTCATGTTTCTCTAAGTATTTTATTTCTTCTAACGCGTACCAATAACTTTTTTATCAAGATAACTTATCTCTGCAGTAAAAGGATAGTTGGAGAGTATCCAGTAATTTTGTTGAAACGAAATAGCGTATACTCTATGCACATACACACATCCACTTACATATATATATATATATATATTTCTTCAGTTTTGACATATTAACTAAATAATTAAATAATTCAAGGCTATTTGTAATAAGATTTATTTGTTTCCATCTACCTGAGTACATACAGACATTTGAATTGGCGCCTCAAAAACTTACAGCGTTGTGGTTGGTCAATCAATTTTCCCACTTCCCCTGCATGCGCCTCAATGCGCCTTGCTATACCTTTCTTATTATACCATGGTCAAGTCGTCAGTTCATCAGTTGCATTGCGTTCATCATGGCAGTAGTTTAAGTTTTGTCATTGTCGGTCTTCCAAAACTTTCTTAATCAATTTCACATTCTGCTGCAGTGTCAGTGACTGTGAAAGAATTTAGCGCGCACATTAACTCCATAATTTCATTTTTTTTCCTTGCACGTCTCATTCGCAGAAGCGTAAGAAATCATAAGGTTAAGCGCGGTTGCTAGTTTGCAGTGAAAGTACTTATCCACGTTCCTCGACCCAATTAGATTATCTCTCAATCCGTCAGTCGTCCTCTACATCGGGAACGTAGAAGGGATTCTTCCATCGTTATTCCATCTAACACTTGATGCTTGTATCTATAATATCACCTAGTACATTCCAAAGTTCGACGCTCGACTATATCTGGTGTTCAAAACGTAACAATGAATGATGATAAAAAATGTGATGTAATTCGAGTTGGATCTCGGAAAAGTGAGGTGAGTGTAAGCTTTCGTTTTCTTATACATATCCGGTTATTCGATTTTATAAAAAAATTTTTTTCTTAAACTGCAAGTCGCATTCTCGAACTTCTTCGCAATTTTTTTGCTTATTAGTACGACAGCATTTTTCAGTATGTATATTATATAAAAATTATTATGCAAAGATTGATTTCTGTTCTCTTATTAACGATTTTAATTACATGTCTTTTCTCATCCACGACGATTACTTATTAATTTTATGTAATCGTTGCTGCGTGTCTAAACTGCTTATACCTCCGCGTAAGATTACTCAGTTGTTTTTAAAATTTTTTTAGTATATCAATGACGTCTATATTTAAACTTATATAAAAAAGAGTATTAGAATCGCAAAGTGGTTTTTTATATTTTAATTAAAAAATTCTAATTTAAAAAATTAACTATTTTGTTATACAATTTTACGTATTGTACATGCAATTATATATTTTTTAAATTGTATTTTATTACATAAATATTTTTTAAATTGCATTTTATACTTAATTAATATTTAATTAATTTTATAAAATTTAATACTTAATTTTATAAAAATTAATACTTAATTAATTTATTATAAAATATATTTAATAAAATTTTTTTAAATTATATTTTACTACATAAATTGCAAAAAAAAATCATGTTTTCTTACTTTGAAGATAAATAATGTATTTTTTTTAATTTTTTAGTTGGCCTTGATACAAACTAAACATGTAATACAATGTCTGAAAGAAATTCATCCAAAAAAAGAATTTGAAATAGGTAAGCAGATTATAATACAATAGCACTATTCCTTATTATATCAGTTATTCTTCGTGCAACTTCAATGAATTTGTTTTGAATTTAAAAGTTCAATATCACAGATTTCATAATTTCTCAGTATCACACGTGATAATTTCGCAATTTTTTCCCTTTGACTATATATCAGATTACATAATATTTGAAATACAGCTTTTTCTTCTAATATATTCGATGACTGGCATATAATGAAAAATGTTGTTTATTATTAATTTATTACATATATTTTGTCAACAAAAAAACATATCGAATTGTATTAAATAAATTTTTATAAAGTTAGTAACTTTATTTATTTTTTTTTATAAAGTTAATAACTTTATTTATTTTTTTTATAAAGTTAGTAACTTTATTTTCAAATTGAAATAAAATTGTAGTAACGATGAATACTAAAGGAGATAAGATTTTGGATAAGTCTTTACCAAAGATCGGGGAGAAGTCCCTGTTTACCGAGGAGTTGGAACTAGCTTTGGAAAATGGTAGCGTTGATTTTGTTGTACATTCATTGAAAGATTTGCCAACAACACTACCGGCAGGGATGGCTTTAGGTGCAATATTAAAGTATGTTTCATTTGCTATAATATTAAACGATAAAAAATTCGAGCTGCGTTTTCTTAAATTAAGTGTGATATTACATTCATTTAAAGTTGCTTCTCGTCAGCAAGAGCTGACTTTGCTAATTTACATATCAATGCCCCGATAGGGAGAGCACATTTTAAATTTAAATGCAGACACATACGCTAGTGTTCTTATAAAAAAAACATTTTGAATCCATTTGTATCAATTCCAACTAGCTGTTAAATTATGTTTACTGTTTTTGGTATTAAAATAATAATTATATATTATTAACATGTAAGTAATGTCAAAGTAGTTCTTAAATTAAATGTATGGTATTACATAAAAAAAATTGTTTATTTGCAAAAAGTCAAGTCTTTATGAAAAAATATCTGGCATTTATATTTTAAATAAATTAGACTATAAAAGTAATATTAATATTTGTTAATAACGTCAATAAATAATATATTTTTGTAGACGCGAGGATCCACGCGACGCAGTAGTCATGTCAAAGAAATTCAAAGACAAAACATTAACCACATTGCCAAAAGGTAGTGTAATAGGTACTAGCTCCTTACGTAGATCCGCTCAGTTATCTCGGAACATGCCGCACTTAAAGATAGAAAACATTCGCGGTAACTTGAATACGAGATTTAAAAAACTAGACAATGAAGATGGCCCCTACGCCGCGATTATATTAGCTGCTGCTGGTTTAAAACGGATGGGCTGGGATGACAGAATAAGTCAGGTACGATTCTTTATCTTATATTTCACTTTCATATTCTGTAAAACTGATTTGAATCAACATATGTATTCTTTTAGATTTTAGAACCCGAGGAAACTCTTTATGCTATCGGTCAGGGTGCATTGGGTGTTGAATGTCGAGAGTCAGATTGGAAAATACGTTCAATTTTGGAACCATTGTTTGATTTGGAAACCACATTGACATGCGTGTGCGAGCGTTCATTTCTAAAAACTCTTGGTGGTGGATGTTCCGCACCAGTTGCGGTATCTTCATCTTTGAAGAAGAATGAGTTAACGATTACCGGTGCTGTATGGTCTCTGGATGGTCAAACTTTGATTACAGATACTTCGAAAAGCAAATTATATTTACCCGATGACGATGGTGAGCCTCCTCGGTGAGTTAAATATGATTTATTATTAGAATATTTTTAAATAAGATTGCACATACTGATATCGATGCTGTGCTATCAATGTATATCTTTGAGCGCACATTGCATATTTTATTTATTTTATATTTAATTTGATTAACCTTTTTTTTCTCTTGTAATAGGAAATGCCCATATCAGGAACCGCGACTTTATTGCAGCGTTATTCCCAGTTATAAAATAAGCAGTATAAGTCTTCTTGGTGCAGAACTCCTTGGTAAAGATTTGGCCAATAGTCTTATAAAGAAAAATGCTCTTGATGTAATGTCACAAGCTAGAAGTGAAATTTTAGATTCAAAATAATTGTATCAAATATGATGATCTGTATATCATTTCTGGATAGAAATGTGCACATAGAGGATGTGTATTAATGTAAAATGACAATTATTAATAATTTCCCGATCTTTTCAAGTCTTATAACTGTAAATATTCGTTATACATTTCTATTGGTACATGCTCAAGATTGAAAACAATTGGAGTACAAATCGTATTAATTTTTGTACTATTACTATTCTCTCTGCTTTTGAATATGTCGTACACATTTTATTTATTCTATTTAGGCATATTACTTGATTTTAAGCGCGACTTAAAACTCTATCTCGTATTAAAGCTGAAAGAGAGACAGACAGTTTAAGTCTCACTTAAAATTGAAATCATATTGATACAGTTGAGCCTTAACGATTCAGGAAAAGTACAAAGTAACTATAATCATAACAGTAAAAAACATTGGAAGTAATCATATAAAATATGTAATACAAATTACTAAAAAATTATATTGTATTTACGTTTTGAATGAATTGTACTCACAAGTATTACGAAAATTATTGTTATATGTTCAAATGTATGGTTACGTAAATAATCCCCAATTATTGTTTACAAAACAAATTGTTATACAGAAATTCTATTGTTGTTGGAAATAAGTCTATTTTTGTAAAACACTGCCACTTATAGATCAGTAACAATTAATGTCATGTATATAATTTCGTTTGTATTAAACAGATTACAATGATCAAGTTTTGTACATGCACAATTTATGAAAATTAGCTCATGAATATATGTATATATAATTTGATTCTGTGGACACTCTTGGGTCTTATTTTAATAAATTAAATATTTTTTTATTCTATATTTTGAGTTATTATTTACACTATATATCAAATTACAAGAGACGTTTTTTCGTTATCTAACCAACAGCAACCGCGACTAAGACTATCTTCGTTTTCAGGGATCAGAAGACAAAGATAGCCTTAGCCGCGGTTGCTTTTGGTTGGATAACGAAAAAATGCCTAAGGTATTAAGCAAAAGCATTGCGTCATTGTTCACACATAATTGATTTTTTTCGTCTATTATTTATATATATATATATTTATATATATCCCGATTATAAAGAGCTGTTCTTGTGTAAAACATATGTATATAAACAGAATTTCTTGTAATATGTGGACATAATTACATATAGGAAGAATTAAAGATGTAATGGAAGAGAAATTATGTATAATGCTATTATAAATGAATAAAGTTTTATATTTTATTTCGATTATCTAATTTCAAATAGTAATATATAATATAATGTAAGGTTTAACATAAATATTCCTTAAAGTTGCGCGTAAATGTTTTTTATTTATATTTATTTCTTTATTGTATGTTTATTTGATAGAATTTCATATATCTTCTATATAAGAATATATAATTTTTGAAAAAGTATTATGTATTGTGTATCTTTGAATTGTTTATTATATGTATAGAGACAGAAAGTTAAATATCTTTGGGTATATAACAATATACATCTATATTTTCAAAATAATTTCTAGAGTTTATAGCATTTATAGCGCGACATTAGATTTTATCTACAAAATACATATATATTTTTACGTAAATTTATAGCGATACACAGCATAAGATTTACAATAATCCTCTAATTGTATATACTTTCATAAATGCTTCCAGAATATATGATAATAACGTACCTGAGCAGGTAAATCTCTTAATTATTTTTATAATGTGCACATATTGGATATCAACATTATATCTTAGATGATTACAATAATTGTACAAGATTACAATTGGATCCATAGATTGTGATGTTATACAAGTCACTTTTTCACATTTACTACACCAAAATAAGGCAACGTATTTGCTTATTAGTATCGCAAATGTGATAGTGATAGCGTATTCTATTGAACACAGCTAATTAAAACATAATAAATATACTAATTCATTAACGTCAATTCCTGAACACACAAATGACATACTGTTGCTCAGAATCAGATTAAAGCAGTGGCTATGTGTAATATGCTAGAAATTTATCATGTTTTGATGAAACTTTAACTTGTATAGTAACTCGTGTGTGTTAACTTTTATAACAAAACAATTATATATATATATAGTTTTTTGTATGTTATATATATATATATGTGTATCTCATATATATATATATATATATATGAAACAACAAAAACAAAATTTCTTGGTATTAAAAATAGGATATGTGAATCATTAAGAATAAATTAGTTTCTCACAAAATATAAAATTAATACAAATAGTGACTACATACAAAATGCGATAGGACAATTATGTCTGAATAGATAAATCCATTAAAATTATGACTGTTTTAACAATATACAATTTTTGTATCGAATATATATTTTTCACAGAAATGTTTAGAACTATTTGTAAATTTTAGAGATGTTTATATTTTTCAAGGACGTACATGTATATTATTGCAATTAGAACATTGAAGAGAAATTAAATTTTGATTTGATATCAGAATATTATAAGTCTTACATCTGCCAAAAATGGTTAGAATCGCTGTTTAATTTAAATTTATTTTATTTAAATAAAAGGATATTAAAATATATATATGTTTAACAAAATAAAATAATGAATATTTATATATAAAATTTCTATATACGGTTGGTACATACATTTACTAAGAAAAATGGAAGTTCGATACGGGACAACGAATTGTACAATTGTAGGATTTTCTAGATATAAACTATATTCGCACCCACATTGTGCAAAGATGAGCAGACTCTTTGTTAATTTCAAATTTTATTTAAGTATTGTCAACAAAACTTTATATTCCTCTATTCAACATCTTCCTCTGCCATTTGAGTTTGCGATACTATTTTCTGTAAGAAAGCAAATTTAACAAAAGAATATCATCTCTCATTTCAATAATATTTTTTTAACTAATTTATACCTGGCCAACAACGGGTAGTCGCTGCACCAGAATCTGGAAAATTGGTGGTGGCAGAGTCTTCTGGAGAACTGTCAGTAACTGGGCTGGCTGTCCACAGACTGCTACTGCATTAGCCAAGTGTTCAACTCCACCATCTATTTCTCCACAAGCAAGCAATTCCTCCCCAAGTTGAACCTAAACAATATAATATATTACATGTTTAAATATATTTAAAGAATCGGGTGGTTTGGTGTTTATATATAATTTGTAAACTAGCAATCCATCAATTCGTGAATCTAGATTTGATCTCATCTAGGCTGCGTTCGGAAACATCACCCAAATACCTCAGTGTATCATCTTATCCTCGTTTAACATGGGTGAACAACAAGGATAGGACGACACACGGAGGTACTCGGGTGATGTTTCCGAACGCAGCCCTACACCATATATATGTAAAATACGTAGAATTTTTCCTGCGTTTAAACAACACTCTATGATTAAGAATCATCCCAATTGTATCTTAAATTAAGAATTATATTGCTACTCTAGTTATATATCCCACTGATTGATGCAAATTAATTAAATCTATATAAATTTAAAAGTATTTGATATTTTGATTGTATTATCTCTTTACACTCTAAAGGCATGAGTCATTAAATAAGAAATTTAAAATACATTTTTAAACATTAAAGCTAGATATGTATACAGTCAAAGTAACAGCAAATTTTACCTCTTGCAAAAAGAACTTTTGCACCAATTCATGATCCCTCAAATCTGGCATCTTTGAGGAAGCTTTCTGAGCTTGCTTCTTAGCCTTTCTACCTATAAAATAAAAATAAAACCTTTGTTACAGAGAATAAGAGCTATATAAATTTTTTAAATTCTCAGGTACGGTAGAATGTTATATATAAGGAAAAGAGGAATAAAGATGACCTTAAGATTTGTCGATTCTTTCTAATTTCTGTGATAAGGTATAAATAGAGAGATGTATTTTTTCCAATTCATAAAAATTAAAGTGTTATTAAATAAATTAGAATTTTCCACAATTTATATTTATTTATAATTACAATCCTAATGCAATAAACAATATTACAATGAAATGATTTTTAATATATGTATAAATAGGAAATGTGTAAATGTGCACACGTGTAAAATGAATTATATGATCAATGTAATGAACGTTGTCAAGAGGAATTATCAGAAACATACTGATCTCTCTTAAAAACGCACATCACCACGAGGAAGTCACGCGTGGAGGAAAACGAAAAATCAGAACTTACGTTCGCGGAGCTTCTTTTTGAAATCGGGATCACTGCGGCGCTTCTGGTCAAAGTAGAAACAGTAGCCAACGAAGATTCCGGCGATCCCGACAGCAATGCCGACTGCAGTTTTGGAAATCATGGTCATTCTAATACACAAAATCCTGATGTATAACAGAAAATTCACGAAACCCTCGTCGCAACCTCGGCCATCATGGAAAAGGGTGCTACCGTGCTAGTGCTCTCCATCACTTTTCCCATCGTGCGCACTGAACATGCCCGCGAAAAATAGTGTAGGGATTTCTAGTACTTTTAAGTTACACCTTGTACACTCTACACACCTCTTAAGCCTTGTGTCCACGATGCTAGTGACCCTCTAATAAGGGTCTGAACACGTGAAGTCCGCCATTATTCGTCGAAATTGTGCGAGAGAGAAAAAATCATGCTATCTCATTCTAGTGGCGCTGTAAGTTGTAGCTGATTGTAGCTCTACAAACTTCATAGTTTCTGTTTCTGTTTCGTCTCGCCTCATGCATCGTATCATTTTTAAGATCAGGACCATTAATATTCGAAAAAGAAGAAGAATCATTATAATTTGAGTCTTGTATAGCTGTTCGAAATGTGTTTCGTCTTCATTCGGGTATTACATCATTATATTTTTGAAAAGTAGTGCCGATTTTGATAATTTTAACTATCCAATAGTACAATGAGCCATGTTTCCCTCGTTTCCGAAGATTTGAGGAAAATCTAGAAAAAGAAACTGAAGAAGTTTCTCGTTATTGTAGATAAAGACGCAATTATTCTTTTTTATTTTATGAAAGACATATTGCAACGTTTTTTTTACATAAAAGTTTTTATAGAAA